AGATTTTCTCAAATTTGAAATTTTTCAAAATAAAGAACTTTAAAAAGGGACCACTACTGATGGAGACTCCAAACAAAACCCAATCCAAAACGGGCAAAGGGCTTGAATAGACATTTTTCTAAAGAAGTTATGCAAATGGCCATTACACACCTAAAAGATGCTCAGCATCACTAATCATTAGGGAAATGCAAAGCAAGAGCCACAGTGAGATACCACCTCACACACATTAGGATGGAAACTATTAAAAAACAAAACCACAAAAAACAAAACAGGGAGTAAGTATTGGTGAGAACGTTGGAGAAACTGGAACCTGTGTGGACTGTTGGTGGGACGGTAAAATGTGGTGCAGTCACTATGGAAACAGCATGGTGACTCCTCAAAAAGTGAAAATATAGAGTTACCGCATGATCCAGCAAGTCCACTTCTGGGCCTAGACCCCAGAGAACAGAAAGCAGAGGCTCCAGTAGGTGTGTGTACACCCCTGGTCACAGCAGCAGCGTCCACAGCAGCCGAAGTGTAGAAGCAGCCCAGCTGTCTCTGAAGGGCGGTTGGACGAGCAAATGTGGTGCACGCGGGCAGCGTTCTTCAGCCTGGACAAGGACGGCAGTTCTGACACACGCTGCAACATGGATGCACCTTGAGGACACTGCGCTCTGTGGAATAAGTCTCCAAAAGGCAAATACTGCTTGATTCCACTCGTCTGAGGTACCTAGAGGAGCCAGGTCACAAACACAGAGAGTAAAATGGTGGTTGCCGGGGGCTGGTGGCTCCAGGGAGGGTCAGGGAAGAAGGCGGATTTATTGTTTAATAGATAAAGGGTTTCAGTTTTGCAAGATGAAAAGAGGTTGGAGATGGATGGTGGTGATGGCTGTACATGAATGTGCTTCATACCACTGCACTGTACGCTTAAAAATGACTCAGATGGTAAATATTATGTTATGTGTATCTCACCACAATTTTGAAAAAAAAACTTTTAAATGACCAAAGGAATTAAAAACCATTTGGCAAACATCACAATAATAGCTGATCCTGGCAAGAATCATCACTGGAGTTTCAATGAGAAGGTAAGCGTTTGATGAAGAACAGGATATTTACAGCCTCAAATTAACTCCCTACAACATACATATTAATTTCAAAAGAAAATACCATAATTTTATGGTGGAGAAATCCGGGAGACGCGAATGTACCCGGTGCAGCCAGCGTGAACACCGGCAACATCAGGACCAACCGACACCACGTGCCTCTTGACACGACGTGCTGAGAAAGACACCTCATCACTTCTGTGCTCCTCCTGCCAACACGTATGCAAAGATCTCATCTAATTATAAAGGACACGTCAGACGAACCCAAACTGAGAGGTAATCTGCACCCTTAAAAACCGTCAAGGTCATGAAAGATAAGGAACGAGGAACTCTTTCAAATTAAAGCAGGATAAACTGTTATGAAAGCAACTTATAAGCGGGGATGTTCTGCTATTAAAGGACATCATTTTGACATCTGATGAACTTGGAAAAAGATCAGTAAATTAGATGACAACAGATTATGTACCACATACATGGATAATGATACATAGTGGTGTATATACTGATATATAATCATATATATATATATCCACACATGCATATTCAACGTTAACATTCTTATTGTGACGAGTACATTGTGGCTGTGTAAGAGAATGTTCCAGTTTTTAGGAAACGTACACTAGAGTATTCGGAGGTAACGGGACACGTTTGAGACTTACCTTCAAAGAGTCTAGGTAAAATCGTGTGTGTGTGTGTGTGTTTTATGTGAGTCTGCAAATAACATAAACAAAAATAGACTATTGAAACAACAACAAAAGGCAGGTGTTACTGTAGGTCTGATGGTAATGAACCAGCAAAACATCCAGATGAAAACAGGATGTAGCGATAGAAGGATTAAATGTTATCCTGAAAACTGCGGTATCTTCCAAACCAAACACATCGATGAACATGATCGTGTTTCCCCAAAGTCTCTTTGCTCCAAATCTCCTTTGAAAATACTGAAAATTGAGCGCCAGATCCTGTTTGACTCTCAGACTTCGCTGGGGATGGTCATTCAATTTACGGTCTCCCTCTAGCAATGGAGCTTAATTTAACTTGTTTAAAGCAGCAATCATCCTACTCATGAATTAAGTGAATTCCCCTGAAACGGAAACAGTACTAAATTTAACTCTACATGACATCTGGTAAATGAAGGACCCTTCGGTGGCCATATGTGGTCAGCAGCCAAACCTTGCTGGAGAGTGAGATTAGAACAGACATCTCCTTCAGCAAAATAGACAATTGAGCTATTTTTCCGCTCGGTTGCCTGGATGTTTGTTTGAATGAGCCAAATAGAAGTTACCTTGGCTACTTATAGAAAGAGCCTGCTTCCTAAATTTTGTCTTCCTGCCTCACCCAATGACTTAAACTTTAAAAAAAAAAAACACTGAAGTGATCATGCCTTTGTGGGTGCATATGCTACTGCAGATCTCAAATGGTTCTTAAAAGTATTACTGAATTCTCAAACTGTTGACTTTTATTAATGTGCACGCAGTACTGGCCTAGACTCTGTAAACTTTGGAAAGGAAAAAGAACACATGATCCTTGCCCCAAAGAGCTAATATCTGGGGGGAAAAAAACCATAAAACAACTAGAGAAAAACATCTAGTTATTAAATACACTTATGTATATTTCATGACCAGAGCAAAATATGAAATTAAATATTCTGTGATGAAGATTGTGATTGCACACTAAATAAGTGTACTTGAAACTGTAAGTTCCAAAGGAGTGGCTGGCATCCAGCCCACATTGTCCAAACGGGAGGCACAGCATAGATGGCACGTCCCCCCGAGCACCAGGCAATGTGCTGGGCTATCAATAGGAAATGACAGGTAGTGACAGCATATACCCCACTTACTTCATTAGCAAGACAGTTGCTAATGAAATCAGGAAACAGAAGCAGATGTAAACGGGGCATGAACATTGTGTGTAAACAACGGAGCAAATATGTTTTGTGGATGGCAATGAGGGAGCAACCTCTCCTGCTACAGAAAGGAGGGTGTAGTCCATGGACTATCTGCTTTGATTTCAGTTACACTGAGATTCAAATCCTGGCTCTTCCACTCACTGTGTGAAACTGGGCACATTAGCTTTTGCAAATCTCATTTCCCTTCATCTCCTATAAAGCTACCATCTTGAGCAATTGTTAGTATTAAACTTGAAGCCCTTTACAGCACCCAGCAGGCGCAGGCGTTCAGTTAGGGTCGTCTGCCGTCGCTCTCCGTGTGTCTGTTCAACATCCCACTCTGTTGCCGTTGTGTCTGCCTCTTCCAACAGACAGCGAGCTGCTTACAAAAGGGATTATGAGTTCATGGTTTTCGTATTTCGAATTCCTAGTACAGTGACTGACTCCAAGTGGATTCTGAGTAAATGCTGAAATAAGAAGAATCATTTAAAAAAAATACATTCAATAGTCATGATGGCTTCATATTAGTGAGCACTTACTTTGTGCCCAGCTCTGTGCTGGGGCCATTTCCAGGATCATCTCATTTTTTTCTCATAACAATCCTTTGATGGTAGGTATGACATCCCATGCAAATGGGGAGGATACAGAGCCCTGCCTGAGTTTAGTGGGCTGGTAAATGGCACAGTGCAAGTCTCAGCCGACTGGTCTCCGAGATGCTCTGAACCGCCATAGTGAAGACCTGCCCCTGCTTCTGCGTTAGCTGAGGAAAACCGTCTGGCCCAACAGGCATTTCAGAAGCTGTCTGAGTACTAAAAAGGGAGAATTCGTGAGATGGGTGAGAGCATTCCAGGGCCAGGCAACAGCGTCAGAGGCCAGAGGTGGCTCTGATGTGAGACAGAAGGTGGGATGGGGGTTCTGAAAGGGGAGGGTCCGGGGCGCGGGCAGGATGTGGCTGGCCGAGCGCACATGGGGAGTCATGGGGCCCGTGCTGCCTACAGGTGAGCACGGAGGACGAAGAGCCTCTATATGGAGTTCTCTTGGTTGGAACAGGCAGAAGCCCAGAGATGGACCACGCAGCAGCTCAGGCTACGGATGGCATGGTAGAGTCAATGTGCTTCTAGGGCAGGACGGAGGCTCCAAGCCCCCAAGTGCTGCAGTTCTGGGAGGGAGCTGAAGGAAAAGCCAACGGATTTGGCAACAGACTGCAGGCAGCATTAGTCACTCTTTAACCACAGGAGTAACAAATGCAGCAACAGAGGCCACTTAATGTCCTGATTAAGGTGGCCCCAGAGCTGGGTCCCGCAGGCTTCCAGCTGTGTGACCTTAGCAAAGTGATGCAAACCTCTCTGGGCCTCTTCGTCCCTCCCCTGTAAAGTGGGGGTGGTCTCTGCCTGCTAGGGCTACTATGTTTGCAAAATGAGCGTATATTTTACTGGCTGCTTCTTTATATTTTCTACTGACTCAGAACTCATGCTCCCTAAACACTATATAGAATTTGCTGCCTATTGGGAGAACTATCCCAAATCAGTCCCAGGTCCTTGATTTTTAGCAGGCGACAGGCAATGGGGGATACCCTGGTGACCTCTCCAGGCTAACAAGTCTGACATTCAACACATATCCAGCTCCCAAAGTCCCAGCTCCCATTCCCTGATTGCAAAAGGCAGCACAGGTTTTGCAATTCTCCAGGCTCAAAACCTTCCACCCAATTTAAACTCTTCTTCTTCCCCGCCACCCCTCCACCCCGCTAAGCAAACGTCTAATCAGGTCTTATCCTTCTTTCATTGCAGTGCCTGTTAGATTCATCTCTTCTCAGTTTGCACCTTTTCCTCTCTCACCCGTTTTCCCCCCTTTTCAATGATCTTCTGAAGACCTCCGAGTCTTTACTTTCAGCCCAGTGCCAAATTAATAATCAACCGACGACTCAGAAGACCACTTACATGGCTTATGTCCCTTTGTCAAGGACTCTCCATAGTTCTGTGAGTTCAAATTCCTCGGTTTGGTATTAAACGACTTCACTTCGAACAGGACTCCTTTCCCAAAGTCTCCACTGGGGGATGGTACCTTGACTACACCCACAGCTCACGCCCTCCAGCTTCCAGAAATTTCCTTCTCCAGACCCCCTGGTGAAATTCCATCCCTTCCAGGAATCAAGCCACGTCCCCAAAGAAGCTCTCCTTGGCTTTTATTCCAGCCCTAATGTCTTTTATCACTGGGGCACCCCACCCCACCTAGCACTGAATGATGTTTGATACATTCGTGACCACGTCGGAGGGTGGAACCCGACTTCCGGCCGAACCTCCAGTTCCCGAGCCCCTGATCCGGCACTCAGTGACGCTGCAGGAATGGATGAAGGCGCAAAAGGCCACGCGTCTGGTCCAGGCCCTTCTTGCTACCTCCAGCCCCCACCACCCACCACCCTCTCTTCCTGCCAGAGTCTGAGCCTGTGGGTCCGACCGCCGACGCCGCCAGGCATCAGTGGGGCGGGCTGTGTCCCCGAATCCAGAGCATGTCCGCGTCGCCCGACCTCCACGACTTAGCCCTGACCCGAGGACAACGGCGCGGAGCCGGGCGCATTGCTCCCCCCTCCGGGAGGGGCCGTCCCCTGCGAAGTGGGCTGGTTTCGGGAATCGCGGCCACCAGAGCCCATGGCCCCGCGGGAACG